GAGAGAGAGAGAGAGAGAGAGAGAGAGAGAGAGAGAGAGAGAGAGAGAGAGAGAGAGAGAGAGAGAGAGAGGTTCTAGATTTTGTGACACAAAATAATGATCTGGAAACAAGTTCAGAACTTCAGAGTTTGTCATCTTCTGCTTTTTCTTTCAATATTTTCTTCTTCTTCCTCCTCTTCTTTCTCTTCTTCTTCTTCTGCAGGTACGCGTCTGACAACGTTTGCAGAAAGCCAGGTACGTTGTCGCCGAAACCCGTGCTTGCTGAAACCACACCACCACAACCCCCCTAACCCCCGACCCCCAACCCCTGAAATACCCCCCCCCAAAAAAATGAAAAACAAAACTTCTGTGTTCAAAGTTTTCTAACCAGATTCGGGGAGATCTCGGCGAGCGCACTCCAACCATGTTTTCAAAAAAATAATAATAATAAAAATTTGACCCACTTTTGGGCCCAACCGGGGGGTCCAACCGGCCCAGTTGGGACCGGTCCGGTCCAACCGGCCGGTTGCCGACACAGCCCTGAAACAAAGGCATTGCTCTAGAGACAGCTGCGAAGACGTTGCTGAGACAGGGCTACTTCCATGCCCACTAGTACCTATCAAATCCACTCTCAAGAACCCACAGGGCATCCAGTCTATGGACTTGACGGAAATTTTTGACAAACGTTAGCCAGTTGACAGACTCCCAGGGCGCAAAGGTCACTCTGGCTCCTAGGTGTGTTGTTGGCGAGGTCAGAGATCAAGCAGCGAAAAGAGGCAGAAAAAGGGACCACTACGTAAGGCTATACAGTGATTCCAGAGGCTGACCCGTTACCTACGGGATTAAAAAGACTGAGTGGACCCTGTGTACGGGGCGGCGACTGGACCGGGGCATAGCTGAGGACTGATGAACAGGAAAAATAGCCGTGGTGTGTAGTCGAGCTGGTCTAGGCCAGACTGGTGGGGGCGCAGAGTTGAGCGGTGAATAACTGAAGAAGTGGGAGCAAAGAGAAGGATCGGAGAACGAATAGGGGGACCAGCGCAAGCAGACACAGTAGTTCAGGCAGTTACAGGCGCGGCTGACTGGGTCAAGGGAGTGTCTACGTCGAAGGCGGAACTGGGGTGCTAGGGGCCCGGCTTCAGGGAGAGTTTTTCTTTCCACGTGAGCCAGGAGTACCAGGGGGAGAACCAGAGGAGGGAGAACAGCGAACAGGGCTAATTGCGAGGTCGGAGGGGTACGAGGGAAATCGAGGACCGAGGATGCGAACGAGGGGAACGACGCGAACCAGAGGATCGGTAAGAGCCTGAAGTCTCACGCAGAGCTGGTAACTGCACGTGGGCGACAGCATGGGTAGGCTAGAGCCCGCAGCCGAGAAGTAGTCCAACTGAACGATCCAGGGAGAGGAGACGGGAGAAGGTTTCGTGAGACGAGATCGTTGAGTTCTTGCTAGCACAGCTCGCGAGGTCGGAGAGCGCAGATGCGCATTCTCAGTTCGAGGTAACCTGCGAAGTACGCTACTGAGGTTGCAGACATTGGGCGCGCATCCTGAACGTGCTACCTACAGATCAGCTAGCGAACGACGTAAAGGGGCCAGAGTGGAAAGGAGTGAGCGCTAAGAGTGTGAGGGAAGGAGCCGGGGTCTCAGAGAGAGGGACAGTGAGAGCGCACGAGAAAGGAAGAGGAGAACGGAGGTGAGGAGAGGGGAGCCTGCTCTCTTACCTTAGAACTGAGCGTGCTAGGGCCTGTACCGTCTGGGTGCGTTCCAGTTGGGAAAGCAGCTCAGGAGATGAACCTGCTTGAGTCGCCCCTCAGCCATGCAGGTCGGAGTGTAGTAGAACGTGCGAGTAAATGAAGCGCTGAAAGCAGGCAGGCTGTTAGAGGGCTCGCGAAGATCTGTGTACGTGAGGCGGACAGACTTGTAGGGGAGTGAGAGAAATTGACACGAGTGACAGCGGAGTCTGAGAATATGGTCTTGTTTTCCTGTAGCATGACCGTGAGAACCAGCAAAGTGGAGCTTCGAAGAGGGTTTAGAGGGCAGAAGGGAGGTACTGCGGGGTGAAGCAAGGAGGACAGCCGAGTCAAAGCAAGAACACGGGAAGACGAGCGGAAGTTCCGGAGAGTTAGTCTGTGCAACGAGTCTGTTTCAGGAGGGGTCCGCGAGTTCGAAATACTGTAGGTTCTAGATAGAGCTTCTCTGAGGGCCCTGCAGGAGAGAGATGAACAGCGGTGGGAGAGGCGCCCCCGCTTGAGCAAGGGTGATAGAAGGGAAACGAAGAGGTGAATTTGGGGGAGGTCGTGAGAAAAAGAAAGGAGGAACAAACCAGCGCATTTGGGCGAGGGTGAGAGGACGTGATAGTGAGGAAAGCCCTCGCCGAGAAAAGGGAGTGTTGGAGTGGAAGAAGCAAATACGAAAGAGGCGAGGGAGCAAGAGAACATTACTGTGGTGGGGAGCGGATTCCAGAAGATGGTAAACCGCGCTCGCGCGAAGTTGAGTCAGTGGGATGACGATGCGTGGTGACAAGTTAGTTAAGAGGTTGACGGTGCAACAGTCGAGACCATCACTCTTCATCAATAAGAACCTTTGGAGTTGAGCGAGAACCTAGTGGCATTACACAGGGGACCGCGAGACTCTCCCAGTATCAATCTGCACACTATTCGGTCGGCAAGCACGTTTGCGGAATGTAAATTGATCACCACCGGTCTGCCTCATTGTCAGGTAGTGAACTTCGACTAGAGGCTGACGGGTTCTTGCTGCTTGCGACGCAGATCAGCTGAGTTTGAACGTATTTTTTTTGGCAACCGATTTACAATTACTGTTCCTCTGGTAAGGGACTGTGACGAGACAGATCGCGATCGGGGATTGGTTGTTGGCGGACATGTGGATACTAGTTGAGAGAAGAAACGAGAGTCGTGACCGTGTCTTTTTCAAGTTTTCCACAACCCGTATTACGAGGGGAAGGTGCTCGTTGATCGATTGGGTCAGCTGTAACTACTTCATCTGAGAAAGTACCAGAAGAAAAGTGCTTGAGGAACTGGAGTGCTTCGTCGATTAAACCCAGTCCTGACCATCAGCAGGGGTTTAGGCCAGGGTTACGAGCGAAATCTCGTGTGTTTAACGAACTGTGAACTAAGTACGTTGGGCGAAGAGAAAGTGAAGGGACCAAAATTTTGAGAACTTTTCTATTTACTTCCGAAGCTTTCTGTTTTGGGGGGGGGAAAGAGAGGCATCATTGAGAAACTAAATAGAAAATTTTGAGAACCTTTCTATTTGCTTCCGAACCTTTCTGTTTAACAAACTGTGAACTAAGAGTACGTTGATTGACTGGGTGTGTGCATCTGTGTGTGTGTGTGTGAGACATAGCAAGAAAGAGAGAGAGAGAGAGAGCGTCCCAGTCCACCCCTCCCCTGCCCCACCCCTTTCCTCCCTTCCCTCCTTCCGCTTTTCCTACCCGCCTTCCACTTTTCCTACCCGCCTTCCGAGCTTTGTCGGGGCAGAAACCCTGACAAGGGTATCTACCCTGTGTTTTCAATGTCAGGCGTTGTCCGGTCTTCCGCATGAATCTTGTTTAAGAGGTTTGACTTGGTGAAATGGAAGTGTTGCCAAAGCTTATTCTGACTTGGCCGTTGATTAAGAAGTCGAAATTCTTTTGCTAGAAGCGGACGTCTAACTACCGGCAGACGTGACGGCAGGGTTTGATGGTGTGACCGATCACTCTCTACATTGAATAAGGGCCGGAGAGACAGACGTCCGTGGAAATACTCAGTTTAAATTTATTCTGCTTATTATTGTGACAGCCGCGCGATTCAGGCGTTGAGTAGCTCTGAATACCGACAGACGTGATGGCAGGGTTTGATGGTGTGACCGATCACTCTCTACGTTGAATAAAGGCCGGAGAGATAGACGTCCGTGGAAATACAGAGTTTAAATTTATTCTGCTTTAAAATTGTGACATCCGTGCGATTCACTCGTTGAGTAGCAAGAGAAAAAAAAGGGGAGGAGGCGGGCGGCCGCTTTGCGTGTGCAGCCCCAGCACAAGAGCAGAGGGGTTTTGACCATTTTTGGGGTGGAAAGAAAACGGGAGAGTTTTTACCGGGACTCGAAACGGCATCGGTGGGTTGGAGGGCCTATGCCCTACCCTAATGGGCTCGACAACGCGTTCGCTCCGGGGGTTGGCGGCCGACTGCTAGAGCGGCAAAGGGACGATGCAACCACGTCCGTCTCGGCGGTTCGTCGTCATCTCTAAGTTGTCTCGGTTTTGTTTTGTTTACTCCTGTGTGACATGGCCGGGAGGGCTCTCTCCTTTTGCAAAAAAGGCGGAAGCCGATGCGCTCGACAGCGTTCGTTAACTSCCCCTCCCCGTTTCCCGCCGTTCCTTCTCCTCCTCCCGCTCCTGCTCTCACTACTAGCCCTCCTCCTCCCCCTCCTCCTCCCCCTCCTCCTCCTGCTCCTTCTCCCGCTCCTTCCCCCGCACCTCCTCCTGCTCCTGCTCCTCCCGCTCCTCCTCTCACTCCTCCTCCCGCTGCTTCTCCAGCCGCCTTTTCTTTTTCTGTCCCCAATCAATCAATCAATCAATCAATTGATTGGTTGATTGATTGATTGATTGATTGATTGAAATACAACAAAAAAGGAGAATGGACCGATCTTCTTTTTTTCCTTTTGATCGATCAATCGATCAATCAACACTC